GAAAGTTGCGTCGCAGCCACGAAAAACTATCAGGCTGAAGAAGAGCTGCAGGACCACTTAGCGTGAGTCTCAGCGAATGACGCAACAAGAGAAGACCGCACTGGAACCCGTAGAACTTCAGCTATGCGCAGGAGGGGCTGGAAGAGCCACTGGCCGTGGCCGAGGAAGTCCCGGCCCCGGCATGAAGCAGTCGAGTTTGCAAAGTGCAGACAAGCAGCTACGCTTGTCTCTATCTCAATATGGGCTCGGAGTGAGCATCTTACCGTTAGAAGCATGACGACAAGGAATGTAGTAAAAGGAAGAAAGTTGCGTCCCAACCACAAAGAAATATCAGGCTGAAGAAGAGCTGCAGGACCACCTAGCCTGAGTCTCAGCGAATGACACAACAAGAGAAGACCGCACTGACCCGCGTACATTCAGCTATGCGCAGGAGGAGCTGGAAGAGCCACTGGAGCTGGCCGAGGAAGTTCGGGCCCCGGCATGAAGCAGTCGAGTCTGCAAAGCGCAGACAAGCAGCTACGCTTGTCTCTGTCTCAGTATGGGCTCGGAGTGAGCATCTCACCGTTGGAAGCATGAGGACAAGGAACCTACTAAAAGCAAGAATTGCGTCCCAGACACGAACAACTATCAGGCTGAAGAGGAGCTGCAGGACCACCTAGCATGGGTCTCAGGGAATGAGAAGACCGTGCTGGCACCCGCATACATTCAGCTATGCGCAGGAAGAGCTGGACGAGCCAGTGGCAGTGGCCGAGGAAGTCTTGGCCCCGGGACGAAGCAGTCGAGCCTGCAAAGTGAGCACAAGCGTGGAGTGAACGCTAGAATACGAGTCAGAGCAAGAGAGGATACAGCATTACACGTGGCTCTAAACGTTGTCCTTACGCAGGCGGAGCAGGCTGGGCTGGAGCCAGGAGTACGAGCCTCGAAAAGCTTCAGAGCAAAGGTCTCAGCGCTAACTGTAATATGTGCGCCACGCTGAACAGCTGCAGGGCCTGATCGAGACGCTTCTGGGGGAGGCATCGACGGTGTCTGCCCTCTAAGCAGTTGCAGACACGCATTTTCGTTTCCTCGATGTACAATTGTTACGCAGGCGACGCCAGAAGAGCTGGAGTGCGAGGACGACGAGGCCCGCACCGCGTAATGATCAAGTCTGACAAGTGCAGCTAGCACACACGACGTGCAAACATGAAAGTTGTCAGGTGCAGGATCTGGAGAATCCTGAGAGCTCCGAGGCAGGGGTCTCGGCAAGCGAGCGGAAAGCATAACTATCAACGGAAAGTGCTGATACTGCTGTTTTGCAGGAGGAAAAGGAATGGCCTGCGTGCGAGGAGGTCCGGGCCACAGCATACAAGGGGATGTTGGTCTGGCGTAAACAGGTCAGCAAGTGTAAACCTTGGGGGACTCTGACAGTCTGCAAATGCTTTGACTGTTCGGCCGACGGTGTGCAAATGCTTTGACTGTCCGCCCAAGGACCCGGCGCCGAGCAGTGCGTTGGAGAACGCCACGATCTCAGGGTGAGCAAAACAAAACACGTCTGCACAATCATCTCAGGTTGTCAGGGGAGTGGCCTAGGGCGCACATTTCAGACCCCCAACTGCGCTATTCCACAGGGACTGGGCCTAAACCGGGCGACCCATTTTAGACCTTTTGTTGGCTATTCCCTTGCCGACTCCAATCGAGATTGACACTGACGTCCAAGGCTCTAGGTTAGGCGGGTCTGCAATGGCAAGCTGGGAAGGGTCCAAAAATGCATCTGGACCCATTTCAGACATCTGGTTCCCTGATCCTCAAGGGTCACTATTAAAACCTCCCGCAAAATGAAGGGATTCTGTATGCGTCGACGAGGTGCCCCTGACGCCCAACCGGCGTCCCGTACCGCTGAAATGGATGACGAGGACGGCCCACACACAAGCCCTCTGTCTTCTTTGTAAGTAGAAAAAAATCATGAACAGCTATTCTCGTCCAGCCTCTCGCAGGAAGCGAAGAGCCATGCTGGAGGGTTGCCCGTGGAGGCCCTTTCAAGTCCAGGTGTCAAACGTATGGTATCAACCAAGAAAACACCTGACCGCAGGGCGGCTGAGGCAAAGCGCCTCAGAAATGAGGAGTGGCGGCGCGGCTGGCGATGAGGCCCGGGACGTCCTGTGTGCCGCTGCTTGCTACATTGCGAACTTGTAATCACTGGACCTTTAACCTGACATCCAAATCCATTAGCTCGAGATTGTAGACCTCAAGCCACTAGAAGGGAAACTTTGCCTCTTGCCACATGCTGCAGGAAGCGGCAGGCGCTCTTGGGCCCGTGGAGGCAACATGCGCGCGACGTTGCGCGGTTCCCCGAAGTCCCAAGACTAGAAACCCTTAATTTATGGAGGTTTTGGGTTTAGGGTTTAGGGTTCAGGGTTTCGGGTTTAGGGTTTGGTGTTTCGGACTGAGGATTGAGGGTTCCTTCATGGCCATAGCATCCTCAATTTAAAAAATAGCCGCAGATCTCAGGACTGAAGCCCGAGCTGAAGTTATAGTTTAGGGTTTAGGGTCTACGGGTGTAGAAGTTTAAGGTTTAGGGGTTTAGAGGTGGAGGGTTTAGGGTTTAGGGTTTAGAGTTTAGAGAAAATTCTTCAGGGATGGAGGAAAGCTTCATCAGGGGCCTAGGTACCTAGTGAGCCTTGGGGATTGAGGAGTATTAGGGAAGCTCGGGCTACGTACTTGCCTTGAACCCTTTAGGGTTGACGGTTTAGAAGTTTAGGGGTATAGGGTTTTTCGGTTTAGGGTTTAGGGTTTAAGGTTTGGGGGCCCTTGAGAACTCTGCAATGAAGGCACAGGGCACCTGAGTTTCTTTAAACCCTAAACCCTAACAAGGCCCATCTGGGCTGTGTATAGTTTCTGGGAACCCAAGTTTCTGGGGAGCCCCTAAACCCTAAACCCTAAACCTTCAATCCGAATCTAGCGATGCAGGGTTGAGGGTTTGGGGCCTCCACTCGGTAGCAGATGGCTTCTGTGGCAGGTGGCAGCTTGGCGCGTGAGAAAGCCCGGAGCCACGCCCTCGCCAAATAGGTATAGTATGGTATAGTCATAGTAATATGTGCTATAATAATAGCCTAGGGGGGCTCCCGTTGCGGTGTGCCGATTTAGACTGTTTATAATTAAAAAGATACTGTGTTTTTCTTCTTGTTGCACCCGCAAGTAAATATGTCTAGGCAAGTCGGCAGACCGCAACGACAGGGCAGGTCTGGTTGGCGAGGGTTAGTTCGGGGGGCTTGGGCCCAAACATTTTTAAAGAGCTTCTGGCTTGGGGTTTAGGGTAGAGGGTTTAGGGTCTAGGGTTTAGGGTTTAGACCGTAGGGTGTAGGGTTTAAGCTTTAGGCTGTAGGGTTAGGGTTTAAGGTTTAGGCCTTAGGCTTTAGGGTTTAGGGTTTAGGGTTTAGGGTTTAGCGTTTAGGGTTTAGGGTTTACGGTTTAGGGTTCAGGGCTCAGGATTTGCATCCGTAAGCGACGTGACGCTGCTCAGACTCTGTGATCGCCGCCTAGGAAATCCAGACGAGAGACAGCGTCAAGGTCGCTTTTGACTGTTTCGAAGCATCATGAAACATGTAATTAAAGTAGATGCTATACCCTCAACCCTAAACCCTACATCCTAGACCCTAAACATCCTTAAACACCAAACCCTAAACCTTAAACAAGAGAGCGATCCGTCTCAGCAGACCAAGTCGGGTCTGTTTTTGTCGAGTGGCACTGCTGGGGACGTGCATATGAGCCTCGTCCGAAGCGAAGTTCGTCCTTCAAAGTGTTTGGCGGTTCAAGTGATTCAAGTCTCGGCTAAACGAATCTTCGTCATTTGGAGGGCGGATTTTTGGAAGTCATGCGTTGCTTCAATGCAGATGTTCTCGCCATGGCAGCACCAGCTTAGATGCCCGCAGATCCAGGGACCTTGCAGATACGATGAGGATCGCCTATGTCTACTACAGACTCATTAAGCCCTAAACCCCAACCCCGAAACCCTAAACCTTGAACCCTTAACCCTAAATCCTAAACCCTAAACCTTAAACAAGAGAGCGATCCGTTTCAGCAGACGAAGTCGAGGTCTGTTTTTTCCGAGTGGCACTGCTGGGGACATGCACATGGGCCTTTTTGATTCGAAGTTCGCCCTGCATCGTGTTTGCCAGGTCAAGGGATGTGAGCATGTCTCGGAAGCTCATAGTTAGACGAGTCTTTGTCATTTGGAGGGCGGATTCTTGGAAGTCACGCGTGGCTTCAAGGCAGACTTTCTCACCATAGCAATACCAGCTTAGATGCTCGCAGATCCAGGGACACTGGAAAATGCTCTTGAGCTGCGATGAGGATCGCATCTGTCTACTGCAAATCCATTAAACCCTAAACCCGAAACCTTAAACCCCAACCCCTAAACCCCCAAACCCTCAACCCCAAACCCTAAACCTGAAACCTTCAACCCTAAACCCTAAAACCCTAAACCCTAAATCGACGAAGAGCACAGAAGCTGACAGGCCCTAAACCCTAAACCTTAAACCCTAAATCCTAAACCCTAAACCCGAAAGCCTAAACCCTAAACCTAAAACCTTCAACCCTAAAACCCTAAACCTTAAACCCCAAACCCTAAACCCTAAACTATACATGTTTATAGGAGATAAATATACATACAAATTTCTATTATGTATGCTTAAGAGATAAGAAAAATTCAAGGTTAAATGAACCCTCAAGGCTGCGGGCTCATATATATATAGTATACGGGGGGTGGGGGGGATGCAGGTAGCTGATTCCTTCATTCCCTACTAAGAACCAGTAGGCGTTGGATTTTTTCTCCCTGGCTTGAGACTTTTGATCAGACTTTCAAGCAGGGTTAGGGTTTAGGGTTTAGGGTTTAGGGTTTAGGGTTTAGGGTTTAGGGTTTAGGGTTTAGGGTTTAGGGTTTAGGGTGCCTTAAAGCACGGCAGTACAGCAGCCTAGAACAAGAATTCTCCCCCTAAAGCCCTGGACCCTCCCCTGAACCCGAGGCCTCGCAAGAAGCACCCATGGACCGAGGCCGGACAAGTGTATTAGCTGTTTAAACCCTAAACCCTAAACCCTTAACCCTAAACCCTAAACCCTAAACCCTAAACCCTCAACCCTAAACCCTAAACCCTAAACCCTAAACCCTAAACCCTAAACCCTAAACCCTAAACCCTAAACCCTAAACTAAACCCTGAGCCCCCTAAATTGCGAGGGTTACCTAGATAGGCCCAAGGAACTTAGTAGTAAAATGTGTTTGCAAGTAGGGCTTCAAGCTTTAAGTGCCCCATGTTGGGTCATCCTGATGTTCCTGTCTGGCTTGGGACTTGAGTACTGCGGTGTAATTCAGGGCTTCAGGGGTTCGAGGTGTCGGGGTCTAGGATGAGGGTTCACGTTATGAAACACCCTCCCCAGAGTGGGTTCAAAAGGCTGATAAGGGGAGGTTACCAAAGGCGTGTTCATGGCTTGTCGGCTTGTCTGTGTTTAGGGCCTGTAGGACTTCGGTTCAGGATTTCGGGGGGAGGCGCCGCGGGTTGTCTGTGGAGGCTCACGTTTTCGGGTTGATGGCTTATGGCTTAGGGCTTCGGGTTTAATTGGGGTTTAGGGTTGAGGGTACCCTAAACTCTAAAACGAGAGGCCCTAAAGCCCTAACAGCCTCGAGAGGCCTGGAGCCCTGGAAGACGGCGCGGTCCACAGGAGTTCAGAGTTTAGGGTTTGGGGTTAAGGGTTTGGGATTTTCATCCTAAGCCCTTAGGCCCGAGACCCTAAGCCCTAAAATTCTAAACCCTCAACTCTAACCCCTAAACCCCTCTGGCCCAAAGCTCACCCGCCTGCCCCGCCTACCCCGCCTGCCAGCGCAGCGCCTCCGAGTCGTGGTGTTCGTTTTTTGTGATGTAGCCTAGGGTTTAGGGTTTAGGGTTTAGGGGTTTAGGGTTTAAGGTTTAGGGTTTAGGGGGATGTAGCTTGGCGTATCTTATTTCAGGCCCCAAAGAGCTCAGCATCCATAATCACAACCCCCTGCTCAACCCCAAAACATACTCCCAATCCCACACCCACATATGAAAGCATCAACCTGCTGAAGAAGCCCTTATGGGTAAGCCGAACCCCTGCAACGTACTTGATTGGCGTTAGGGTTTAGCGTGGAGTTTCCCAGAATGAGTGTTTTTCCATATATACAAGTGTCGTAGGCGGGACATTCTGCAAAAGAACGTCGAAAGTCACTAAGTCAGTGATGGGGGCGTAGAAGTATAGAGCCAGCTGGTCAGTTCTATGAAACTCTAACCCACAGCCCTAAACCCTCAAACCTCAACCCCCATCCCTAAACCCTAAACCCTAAACCCTAAACCCTAAACCCTGAACCCTGGAACCCTGGAACCCTAAACCCCAAACCCTAATCCCTAAACCGCATGGATTTCCGGCACCTAAGGCTTTGGTCACGAACTTCGAGATGGTGGCGAAGCTGCCGCTCTCTGAGCTTTTAGGGTTTAGGGTTTAGGGTTTAGGGTTTCTTAGGGTTGTTTTGGTCTCTCAGAGTTTTTGGTTTCTTCGGGTTTGAAGGTGTAGGGGTTTAGGGTTTAGGTCTTAGGGGACGTGCAGACAGAGGGCTTGAGGCGACCAAGGGGACTTAGGAGACTTAGGATTTAGGTTTCTAGGGTTCTTAGGGTTCTTAGGGTTCTTAGGGTTCTTGGGGTTCTTAGGGTTCTTAGGGTTCTTCGGGTTCTTCGGGTTCTTAGGGTTCTTAGGGTTCTTAGGGTTCTTAGGGTTCTTAGGGTTCTTAGGGTTCTTCGGGTTCTTCGGGTTCTTAGGGTTCTTCGGGTTCTTAGGGTTCTTAGGGTTCTTAGGGTTCTTAGGGTTCTTAGGGTTCTTAGGGTTCTTCGGGTTCTTAGGGTTCTTAGGCTTCTTCGGGTTCTTCGGGTTCTTCGGCTTTAGGGGCTTTAGGGGACTCAGAGCTCATGGTTCCAAAGCGCTTTCTTCTTCTCATCCCAAACCCCCCTCGAAGGTCGGAATAGTTACGAGTGGTATTCCCTTTTTGGTCCCTAGAGAATTATACTATAATGCCGCCCCCCAAAACCCTAAAACAATTTATCAAGGCCCCAATAATGCGCAAAGCTTGGGGCACCCTTGCTCAGACACGAAACCTAAACCCTAAAAACCCTAAACCCCAAACACCCTAGACCCTCAACCCTGTGGCATAGAGTTGTCCGCGACCTTGACTGGAGGAAATCGCCCGTGCTGGCATCGTTTTCCCTGACCTTTGCCTAAGCCTCAAAAGCCTAAACCCTAAACCCTGCACCCTAAACCCTGAACCCTAAACAAATCCGGTCCGCCCCAAACCTGAGCTCGAACTCCGAAAACCGGTAAGCCCTTAAACCCTAAAGGCTCGAGAAAGCCCCCAAAATTCTCTAAACTGCGAGCCGATCCTCCCTGCAGAAGAAGACCCGAAGCTTCCAGGCCTAAATCCTAAACTCTTCCCTCAGGCCAGTGCATACCTTACAGTACGACGACGGCGAGGAGGCTAAGCTGCTGTGCGACCCCCGACATTCTGTGGAAAGGTTTCGGGTCTAGGTTTAGGGTTTGTGGTTTGGGGTTTGGGGTTTCGGGCTTGGGGGGGCTGAGAGGTTCAGGTTTAGGATCGTTATTTCGTACCGTCGTACCCAACCCCTAAATCGCCAGGTTTCCCCGTTAACTGCAGGATGCAATCTACACACCAGACCTGGAAACCTATACCCAGGACCCCGAACCCCGTCACCACCCCACGAGCAATCCCCTAAACCCTAAACCCTAAACCCTAAACCCTAAACCCTAAACCCGGCGCCAAGTCTGCACCTGCGAGAAGTGGTGCTGCTGCCAGCCACCGAGGCTAGGGTTTAGGGTTTGGGGTTTGGGGTTTCGGGTTTAGGGTTTAGGGTTTGGGGTTTAGGGTTTAGGGTTTGGGGTTTAGGGTTTAGGGTTT